ATATATATATATAATAAAATCTCTCTCTCTCTCTCTCTCTCTCTCTCTCTCTCTCTCTCTCTCTCTTTCTTCTCTCCCCGATTCTTTCGATCACTAGGGATTATCAGGGTTTCCATTTTATTTGTATAACTTACTGGAATTACAATTGCGACGTGCTGATCTAGAATTTCTTCGTTGGTGTAGTCACGCCTTGCTTTGTCCGCTGGCAGCTAGGCAAATCTTTGCTCAATTAATTAGCAGTAATTGCAATTTAGTCGACGAACGTGGAAACAAGGACAGAGTTGGAAGTTTCCGCCAGTGTATACGTGGCATTCGCTCGTAGTCAGATATTATTCGACTGTAAGAACGTACACAGGTACATCGAGAATTACGAGCTGTGCAGCAATAAAATTAATCCTTTATTCGAGCGCAAAGATAAACTTATACAATCCATCATTGCACGAGCGCATCTTTCGCGATTAAATCTAGGAAATTTACGCGGAAATTACAAACTTTTATTTACGTGACTTGCAATGAGACATTGTCATATTAAATTCAGTTCTTAGCAGTGGATCGCATTTAAAACAATGCGTTCATCTCGACAAGTAAATGAATTAAAGAATATATTTTAGAATAATATGAAGATTAGAATAATGTAACGTAAAATAGAATAACTTCGTAATTTGTAACGTCCATTTATATTATGCTGCATTTATTATATGATGTATAAATTTTGTTATATGCTATAGAAATTCCGTAACCTTAACCATAAACTTAAAATATCTCGATTAATGAAAAATATAAAGAAGCTATTAATTTTCTCGTCATAAATAAATTGATTTCTGAGCGAAATTATTATTTTATTATCGATAAGTCCCTTGTTGAGAAGGATGCAGTATTCGAGAAGATAGCATTGCAGAGACGAATGAAAAGACTGAAGGAACAATTTCTTTCCCTTCATATGCTGTCTCTCGTGGACCGCCAATCCCGTTTTTATTATGACTCAATCGTCCGTATCTTCCGTAAACCATGGCGCTTTGCAATATGAGCGACGTCGTTTTCTCGACAAATGCGGGAGATTCCCATGACGACGGCAACCGGAATGAAATCTTTATAGCTTATTGAACCGAGCTATATCCAGCTTCGATCTAACCACATTCTAAAAAAGAAATTACTTATAATATTGTCGAGTTAATCGACAGTCATCTCTATCTTAAAATTTTTCTCACGAACATATATGCCGATATTCTTAAAAGATATTCTTTAAAGTTGTCTTAAGTAAAATCTTAAAGTAAACACAAGTTAATATAAATAATATTAAGAATCTTTATTTAATATAATAACATAAACATCAATATTTATATTTTTTTAATATTCAGTAATGTAACCGTTACTAAAAATAGGTATATACGTTATATTTATATTATTAAATATAAAACTATAACGTTGATGTTACATTACTGTTAGTTGAGGTTTATTAATAGTAAGATGATTTCATAAAATATAGAGCTGTATTAGCCTTAAACCATTACTTTAAAATGATCTTAAAATAAGAATAAACTATGAATATATGTTTTGAAGTTATGACAGACTCTTGATAGCAAACATACATATATATTTGCTAATTAAAGCGAATGATTTCTATCATTATCAAGAATATATCTAGCAATTGTCAAATGTTGTAATGTTAGGTTCCTTGATCGTCTAATGTGTCACTAACAGTCTAATGTGTCATCAGTGACTAACACAGACATACTCAATAACAATTAGAGTATCTCCGTAATAATGATCAATATTGAGCATTAATGGATTCTCCTCACTTTTCCGAGCAGTGCTGTAATTGATGCGCCAGTCAATTAATATAGCATAATGACAATATACACTGATTCTGACCAGATCCTATAATTCTAGATCACGACTTAGCGCTAATTTAACTTTGATCCAATTGCGCTCTTTCCATTCATAAAATGTATGAAAAGTTTGCATAAAAGGATACCGATATAGGCGATGATTCTTTAAACTAAACGATCAATTCAATCCCAACGATATTATAATATAATAGGCTAAGCTATTCCGTGTTATTGTGTTATTGTGTTCTTAACTACGGATATATTCGAGACGCGCATGGAGGACTATTGTCGTGATATAGCGCGTACGGGCGACGCTCTGAATCCTTGAATATGTCCTGCGGTCACGTCTTACTATTATAATAGTTTGGCAATTTTATCCTGTTCCCGGTAGTTACACTTTGAGCTCCTCGCTGTGTGTAGAGTAGAATTATTCGTGAACTGAAAACTTTACGTAAATAATATAAAATGTATTTAGTAATCTATAATAGCCAATAAATGTATATTAAAGAAAATTCTATATTTCTTAAATTTCCAATAATTTAACAAATACTTTGTTACTTTTATGCGCAAATAATAAATAAGCTATGAATTAGATTTGTAATAAAAAATATGTAATCCATATTTTTGGCCTTTTTAACGTTGAGAATATCATAATTTATTATTTTATCGAGATTTTAATTAGTAGATATCTTTATATCACTAATAATTAAAATTTTTGAAAAATCACAGAAAAGAATATCTTCAAATTTAACTTAAGAAAAAAAACAGTAAATAAATTATTATCAATTATTATTGTAAAGAAAAAAAAATTAAACTTTAGCGCTATGTATATCATGTCCAAAAACTGAATAGTGATTGTTAAGAAAAAGAAATATTCAACTTTGTAATAACACATTATTTTCAAAGTCATTACGACTATGTCTATGGAATTCATACTTATATTATTCCAGGACTTTCCTTAGGCGGCGGGTTGATAGTTCTGGCATCAGCATTGTCGGACGCATCACTGGAGTTACCGGGGAAATACAGTTTGCCGTCAACTGCCGGCATGCAAATGGACGATAACGGTCTACCTCAGTACCATTACGGCTGGTGCCTACAACTCTCGGGATTAGCGTTGATGCTCGCGGAAGTGGCAGCCGTTTTAACAATGTCCGGTTACATGGCACGGTTCTCCACGGTCGAAGAGATGGTGAAGTTGTCGATTAAAACTCTCGCCGCAGATTGGCTCGTTGGTTTTAGCTAGGGATTCACTTGGACCCATTAGATCCCAGTAAAACATCTGTCCATGGTCGCACAAGTGGATTTCTAGTTTTATCAACATGTGTTTTTTCGCAATCATGTTTCGTTTAATTGAAAAAATATTTATGCTCTTTATTTTTCTTTTAGGTGAGAGTTATGGTCCCAGGTGCTGAAAGAAAGCTGAGAGAACAGAGAGGATTTAGCTCAGAATATCTTGTGAGGGCACATCAGAAATCACCGGGACCGCCGCAGGCCCGACCTTTCGGTCAGCCAACCAAAAGTAGGTGAACTTATTGCTAAAGAGGGTGTCCCGCGTATATACAATATGATGCGACACATCGCATATTTACGTAATTGGAAAGATTGAAAAATTCATTATCCAATACAGTACAAATTGTATGATCGGATAGAATTCTAGGATCCAGAGATCCGAGAAAATTCCAATGATTTATAAACAATTTTTTAAAATCTTCTAAATGCTGCGGAACACCCTGTAAAATAAACGATAATTTCTCATTCTTCGGAAGAAAGTAAATCCATTTCTGTGTCCTAGCACCTCAAAAAATAGCCGAAGAAGGAACTTCATTGCTCTGCAAATCGGCGCCTGATATTTGCGCGTCGAATCCACAGGCCATCAGTTATGTCGATAAGGCAGATCTATCGCACGTCCTGCCAGTCTACCCAGACGGCAAGAACATCGACCCACGATACAACAATTTCGATAAGTCAGAAGGCAACATCATAGATTCTCGATTGAGCGGCTTCACCGATAAAGAAGGCTTCATTGATTCCCGAATTCTGTCCGATTCTAGACAAAACATGATCGCTTTTACGGATAACAAGGAATCTGACCAGGAACAGCGGTACACCGAATTCTCCACGAGAAACACTGATCAAAATATCGTAGATTCCAGATTGAGCGGCTTTGTCGATAAAGAGGGTCTTCTCGATTCTAGATTGAGTGGCTATGTCGATAAGAATGAATCCTTACTGGATACCCCGTTCGGTTTCGATACTAGATTCAATAGTCTGGCTGGACAGACTGTCCCAATCACGCTAAAGAATCAGAATGCCTCGGTATCGGCTATTCAATCACAGTATATATATCAAAACTTTGGAACAATACATTCGGGCATTCTTAAAGTATCAGAACCTGGTACTAGCTCTAGTTCCAATTCCAGTCAACGTAGCATGACCTTACAAAATCCAAAACGGAAGTCGCAAATTGCTCAGAACACCTTTAGCACAATGGAATGTGAAAAGAGAAAGCGAGCGTCCGGGCTAACTGGCAAGGCGAGCTTTTACACTGGAAGTGCTGTATGACCACCACCTCCACCTCCGACACCAAGGTAACTCCCAGAAGAGGACACCCCATTGTAGCCGGAACTCAATGCGACTTTCGAGTTGGGTCGGAGGATATTCATCACTGATCGCGCTTAAAGGGAGAGAAAAGAATGAATTTTTTACCAACTAAAGATAACTCTGCCGTATTCATTAAAATGCATTTGTCGATAAATGGTACGTAAAAAAAACGCGTCAACTATCAGCATTGCAGGTTCCTACGATGGATTTAAACAAGCTGCCAAAAGGATGCCAATATTATAATTATGCGCGCAGTAGTAATACGTTAATTTAAGAGGATGCTGGGGTGATTAAATTATCGACACATTACAGATCAATAAAAATTTTCGAATTTACTGAACGGAATCAAAAATCCTTTTAATTCAAAAACAGGATTAAAGTAGATACAAAATTGGTAGGTGGTGAAATGGACTTTATATTAAAGTCGAAAAAAGTTAAAAATTCACTTATTTTTCAATTCGTAGAATGTCACTTGTTCTCTTAATACAAAAGTCATACAGCTCATATGGACGAAACAGTGCATCACTCGTCGGATTACTCGAACGAATACACTGAATTTATGAAATTAAGATTAAAAGCTTAAAAAAAAAGATTTTTTTTTTATCTGCAAATTAAGTATGGGAACAAGTTCGTGGCGTTTTTTTAATACCATCTAACGGGAAAAACGCCACGAACTTTTTCCCACACCTAATACGTGTATACGTACATTTTATTACTAAACAAAGCAATAACTGTCTAGCAGTGCTCGATTTTGCAAGAGATGATGTTGCAATATGATTAGATAAGGACAAATGTATGCGTTTGAGACAGTACGATAACGTAAGAAATAAAAATATCACTATTATCGACATTTTTAATTTGGAATTTAAAAAAGTATTATTGACATTGATCGAGTTTGGCTGTCACTTCAGCATCGCCTTAAAACAGTATCGAAATAGTTAGATTCATCAAAAGTACAATTCGTACAAAAGAAATGATGCGAACGTAATCTGTCAATAAAGTTGCGAGCAAATTTACTTCGTTAAATAAATTAAACCAGAAATAAAAATGATGAACGATTACTCTTTCATCATTTTATATAATGAAAAGTAAGATAATGTCCGTCATTCGCTGTTAAAACTTTAACTTAACATCATAATCGCGTTTTAGCTGCATAATCAGTCGAACAAAGTTATAAAATGAAATTAATATTAATATAGTCAATATGTTGTAATATAATTGATGGTAGATATACTCCAGATAAATCGGGCGCAACTTTTATATACTTTTATTTAATAATAATAATAATAATGCATTTAATAAGTAATCATGAAAATGCCAGTTTAGTTTAAATCAAGTGAAATTGTTTATGATTAAAGATTTTCTCAATTTCTTCTCAAGTAGCACAGCAGCGTCTGCAAAGCGCTCAAAAAAGCGCTTATATATACTCTTTTAGTGCTTTTTTTTAAATACTTGTAGGTGCTATGTGCTGCTTGAGTTTCAGCGATGTACACGCTCTAATTGTATCACTTATATATACATATAATCGAGGACATATCAAAAATAAACACGTTTCCGTTGATATGGTTACTGTAAAGTTATATTTTAAATTTGATCTTTACTGACTTTGAATATCTTTTATAATCAAAACGGATAATTAGATGTTTTATGTGCCCGCATAAGAAAAAAAAATAAAATGCGTTATATACATCAATATGCTGTAACGATCGTAGTTGAATAAAATAAAATATTTCTTTTCTATAATAAAGTTGTGTTTTCCTTTTTTTATTCATGTATAACATATCAATCTAGACTGCACTCAATATTTATAAAATACTCACTTATCATCAAAATTATCATAAAATTATGTATGCATTTCTGTTCTTTGTCTAAAGCATAAATTTTCTGTCTGATATGTGATCATGACTCTTAAAATAAAATTGTGCACTAATATTTATAGCTGATCGCCCGAAAAAAAAACAAAAACCTAAACATATGAGAGGTTGATCAATTGATATAAATAATAGGACACAACTTAATTCTCGATGCTTTCATAATATTCATAGCATTTATTTTATTATACATTTTTTCTCAAATAAATAAATAATGCAGCAGATACAATAATAACATACGTGCTAGAGTTTAATATTTTATATTTCGTCTTGTCGTAATCTACTCTTAAAATCCACTACTTCCAAACTACATTTTACGTCTCGATGTAATTGGAAAATGAATACTTCTTGTCATTTTTAGTTTACGCCCATACGTAATAAATTATTAGAGAGTTAATTTTAAATTGTATAATTAAAATGAAAAAAAGTTAACGTACAAACGCAATAACACAGTACTTTATAATTTTATTATACAAATATAAAATGAGCCTGAGATGCGGAGATGCAATTATGATTGAGCGATCTGTATATTAGAAAGGTGGACGGTCACACATAGGTCAGCTGGGCAAAATTTTTAAACGAAAAACGATAAACGCAGATTTACACTATTTAACGATGAATGACATCGATTATATAAGAGCCAAAGGTTTGCGAGCGTTTCTTTCGCGCATACGTTTTCAATTTCTTCCGTTCCCACCATCTCTTTTAACTCGTCATAGGTATTTCTCTACGTCGTACCATCGCAAAGCGCGGTTGCAGTATGTGCGGCAGGCAGTTATTTCGGTACATAACTCTTTTGAGTGGATACATAGAGATGCCTTGAACCATCAGTTCGACTTTCTCATCCTTATGCGAACATCGACCTTGATCCCCGAGGTCAAATTGAATATCACATTGCACGAAATTTTATCGTTAATGCTTCTTTGAAGCTTATAAAAGATCTATCGTTTTTGGTATGTGAATATTTTTTCTCGCAGGAGAAATAAAATCAAATCAAATAACATCCATAATGACATGTTCTCTTCTTATTCATAAATAAATCCTTAAATATCAAATCAAGGGATGCAGGAGAAATAGAATCAAATCAAGAATAAATTTTGAATTTCAATACATTCTTCTAGTTTCTCCGCATTTATCGATGTCTTTTTTTTATTAGAAGAATTTATGTTAATATAAATGTTTTAATATATGTTTTAATATATGTTTTTTTTTATTTGATCACACTAATTATATTCAATTGTTTCCTCGTAATCCATCGATTGTTGAGACCTGGTAGACGAGGAAGTGACAGATTTAACCGAGGTCGATGACTCTACGACTGACTTTGTCTGGACGCTCTGCACAGCTTTCGTTGTCGAGACGGATTTTGTCGCAGACGTTATGTTCGTTGATTGTTCAACGAGACTGCTGTTTGAGTCATTTACTGAAAGAATATATGTAATATTACTATAGATTGTCACAGATTTTTGAATGACATTGCATTTTGAAGGCTAATTTTGTGTATCACATATTATATTTAGCAGATTTCAACGTTTAATTAATTTCGATTAAAGTTAATAATTTAATTGATATTATATTAACAAAAGTTGTATAATGATAATAAATCTAATGATAATAAATCAATAATAAATAAAAAAGCCTCTAAGAGCTGATGCAGGTTATTGTTGCGAATTAAAATTTATTAAAATTTGATACAATTAAACGTTTCACTACCCACGGTTTATAGAGTTCTCTTCAGTAATTGTAGCTAAAATTTGAAAAGTGAGATTTCTACATAACTCAAGATCGATAGTTTATATAGGCGGCGATGTTGCGCTTACGAATGAACAATTAAAATTCTTAGGTTATTTTGAATCTACCTCATTATTATAATATTTACATTATTATAATATTTATAGTCTTATTCGAAACTGATCTTATATATAACTTGTTGGGATTTATAGTCCGTTCTTAATCTCAACATATCAAGTAATGACTTAAGATACTAATACAATTCTTTTGATTGATTTATTTTAAGCACTAACTTAAAACCATCAAAACTTGAGCAATAGTTATAGATTTCGTTCAAAGTCTTTTTTTTACAGTCGGGAATTTTTACAATCGGGGAATAGTGGTAATTATTTACAATTTGTAGAATATATTATTTTTGTTCTTTATTCTTTGCGAATATTAATTTTAAACAAATAAATCAATAATAAATAAGAATTAAAAGCAATAAAAAATTGGATAAGTTCCTAACTGTAATTCATTCTTACTTATTTATTTGTTTATTTATTTAGTCGTCTACCCATTAATTGATTTATTCATCCATTCATTCATTAATTGATATTAAAAATTATAATAAAATTTTTATTGGGAGAATGTACAATAAGCGCGAGAAGTCTCATAACACGTTGGGCTATTCCGGCTACATAATTTGATTGATCAACTTTAATCATTAATAACTCGTAACGCAAATATTAGTCTGAGCCAAAATTGAGAAAGGAACTTTTAGTTCAAAATTTCATCCTCTTTCATTTCACTCCCAGAAATATTAATTAAGAATTATGGGATAC